GCATCTCTGCAGAAACTCTCCGGGTGCGCGTAGTGGGACGGAGGGGGGACAAGAACCGAACTTTTTGTTTGCAGCCCGAGTCCGGAGAGCTGGATTCCCTGGCACGGATTCTCCCCGCCGAGTGGATTCCCCAGCTGCAGGCAGGCGGGAGTCCTTCCAAGAGCTGCTGGGGCGCGGCTTGGCTGCTGCGCCCCGGCGGCGGCTCGGCCCCCGCAGCCCGCGCCTCCTCTCTCTGGGTCCCGGACCGGGAGCGCGGCCTCCGTGGAACAGCCGGGGGAGGAGCCGGGGTGCGCAGGCTGCGTCCGGAAGGGACCCAAGTCGGCGAGTGGCGAACAAACCGGGCGGAAATTCGTTCTTCCCACACTCTGCCCCCGGGGATGCAGGCGGGGAAAGAGGAGACGGCGGAGGAAGGACAGACCCTGGCAGGGGGAGGGGGAGACGCTCAGTGGCTCCGCGTCTGGTCAGCCCGAGCCCGGGACGCCAAGTGAGAAAAGTAGGGATTAAAAACAGCTGTACCGGGCGGACACGCCGGGCTGGGGGCGGGGGGTGGATTACCGGTCGAGCAAACGGGATTTGCAGACAGAGACCTTTTTATTTTAGACGAGGACACCAGTCGCTTCTGAGCAGTGGGAGCGTGGCTTGTTTTACTTGTTTTTAAATCACTTGCTCTTCCAGGTGTCGCCCTGCGGCAGGCAGCCCGCCAGCATTCTGCAGGAGTTTTGGGGAGCAGGAGGTTGTCTGCAGAGAGCTGTGGGCAGGCCACTGTCAGAAGAGGCTAGGTGCACCCACTCTGACCTGCAGCGTGTTTGGGTTTGGGGCATCGCGCTCCTGGAAGCCAGGGAGAGGCACCGCCCCCTTTAAGGATCTGAACTAAAGGTCCTGCTGTGGGGAAGAGCAAGGAGACAGCGCAGAGCTGGTTCTACCACCATGAAAGGCTCTCTGTCAGATTTTGGCGATTTAGTTCCATTACGTTCCCTCCCTAAGGGAGGCTTTGCACGTGTGCATATATACTACTATATAACCTTCCCAGGCACGAATAACCATATTTATACCTTCCCAGGCCCTTGGGTAACTAACTAGCAGCTACCTTGGGGGTGCCCCCTCTGCTGATGCCTGGGCTTGCAGTGATCACGTCCTAGCACTTATTATCAGTAGAGAAGGGAGCGTTTATCAAAGTCTCCTCTGAGGCAGCCCCTGCTGAGAATGAGAATGGGCAAGGAAGAGCTGTTAATTACTGTTTGTTCATGCAAATTATCCGGCTAAAAATAAAGGCCCCGCCTCCCCTCCACCCCAAAGTGTTCAGAGAATGTGATTTTAAGGACATACTCTGGAAAATTAAAGGAAGAGACAGATCTCCCCTCACCCTCAAGAGGCTGACAATCTAGTGGGAAGGGCAAGGCATGGAAAGGCTCAATGATAACACAAAGCAATCTATGAGAAAGCTGCTGGGATGCAGATAAGTTTTAATAATCCCAGTGTCTGACAATTATTAATTGCCTCATTTACCAATTCATAGGTAAGTGATAGCGACAAGTTCAGAATTTAAGCAAAGATGACATAGATCACTGGCAGCATGGACAGGGACCTGGGCTCCAGGGTGCTGGGTGTTGCAGAACTGAAGGTAGGCAGTGAAATGCCCCTTCAGGGCACAGCGAAGGAGCACACTGAGTTTGCTTGGGATTTGCTTTGAGTTCAGCTAGAGGATGAACTTGGAGGACCAAGTATCTGTCATTAAGATGAAAGATGGCCCTGACTGGCTTGGTTCAGTGGATAGAGCGTCAGCCTGTGGACTGAAAGGTCCCAGGTTCGATACCGGTCAAGGGCATGTACCTTGGTTGCGGGCACATCCCTAGTAGGAGGTGTGCAGGAAGCGGCTAATTGATGTTTCTCTCTTATCGATGTTTCTAACTGTCTATCCCTCTCCCTTGTTCTCTGTAAAAAATCAATAAAATATATTTTTTAAAAAAGATGAAAGATGAAGTTCCCCAGGTAGTTTGGTTTTTCAGTTCTCATTGTGAGAATCTTCTGAAACCCATGTAGTTTTTGACTCCCATCCTCTTATGAAGGCCTGGTGCATGAAATTCGTGCACTGGAGGGGGGGTTCCCCAGCCTGGCCTGTGCCCTTTCACAGTGTGGGAGCCCTACCATTGATGGCCCCAAAGACATAGGCCCCGTCCACACATCCGGGGCTCCTGGATGGATTGCCCCAAAGAGCTAGGCTGGAGCAGCGGGATCGCCTCCACACCCCACATGCAGAGTCAAGCCCCTCCCACCCATGCACCCCCACTGGTGTTCGCTCCTGGTGATCCGCTCCTTAAGGCCTGAGGGCATCATAGCCGCATAGGCTTTTATTAACAGGATGGCTGCCTCAGAGGGTGAGACCCAAGTGACCCAAGCTGTCCTGACCTGGGCCTCGGAAGCTGGGCCTCGGAAGCTGGTGGGGGGACCTTCTTGCTCGAAACAGAGGTTACCCCAGTGTTTCAGAGGAAAGATACAAAGAAAGTGAATGGCTGGAACTTCCTGGGATGGAACTGTGGCAGCATCTGCTTTGAGGCCTCGGCCTCAGGACACACAAAGAGCATTCTGAGCAGGAAAGAGGTTGGAAGCTGAAGAGGTGTAACGTGGAAGAGGGAGAAGCAGAAATGAGACCCTACCCTTTGCATAAGCCTCTTCTCCTGACTCTTCACCGAAAACTTGCGGAGAGAGTGAGGGCAGCAGGCAGCGTTCCCTCTGAGGGCCATCTTCACTCACCCCCTGGGGGTGTCTTTCCTTTCTAGATGCTTCTACGTAAGATTTAAGAAGTATCAGACCCCTGCAGACATTGAGTATCTTTTAATGTTGTGGCTGTCTTTGCTAATATTCTACCAGCAGTCCTCGGTTGCAGGTAGAAATGACCTACAGATTCATGTCAAGACAATTACTTTTCCATAACATTCCATTTCCTTGAAGTAATCCATCTGCTGCATAGATACAGTGTGCTGCCTTTCCAATAAGTACAGACAGTTTCTGGTAGGTGTTCCTAGCACCCTCAACCCAATTTCAGTAAGAGTAAGATTTTGAGATCTATAGGTAAAATGATAACGTGTGTGTGCATATGAAGTTTTTCTGAAAAAGTGTGACTGCTGTCTTTTTAACAAACGCTTCCCTTCTACAGGCATAGAACCTGAGGTCACCTTTACAAATGAATGACATTTAAACACCTCAGAGTACATGCATATGATATTCACATGTGCCCCCAATGGCCTCCACGTCTGTAACGCTACACAGTCAGGTGTTTGATTTATTTTCATCTCTCTCTTCCAGGAGTTAAAGTGGTATTTTGCTTGAATCTGGAAGTATTTAGAATCCCTGGTAGTGAAGAGCAGCAACTCCAAACTGCATTGGCTTGGAATCCTTATTGCTGCTGATGAGCAGGCAAGAGGCCTGTGGTGGGGATCCGGCCTGTGCCAAGACCTGGGATGAGCCGTGGGAAGGCTGTGGTTGATAGACACAGTGCCAGACCTCAGGGCGCACCCTCTCAGTGGGGAGGCTGACGCCCAAGAAGCAGTCGCAGATGGTCAGGCTGTGGGTGGAGCTGTGGGAGCCTTGGGGACATGAACTTGGCCTGAGCGCTGGCGGAAGGCTTCGGGGACAGGAAGTACTGAGTGTTACCAGGTGCAGGTGAGCGGGGCTCTCAGGAGGGAGAGCCCGGGACATATGCAAGAGAGTGATTTAGGAACCGTCAAACTTCTGTCTGAATCTTTGTTAGTGAGATTTTTTTTTGACCTCTGTGCTTTTTGACAGCATCACACAACCTTTGCTCATACAATGACTTCCAAATAAATATTCCCTGGCCCCCTTTGAAGATTTCAGCAAGCAGTTGGCATACTAGTACTTGTACGATAACCTCAAGCGGCATCTCTGCCTACATAAACTAGGTGCTGGACAAACAAAATGTTCTCTATCTAGTTCTTGCCGTCCAGAACCTTGAAACCTGTGACAGTGGTTTGGCGGGACATGTATTCACTCTGTAAAATGTGTTATATATATTGTGTAGAGATACTGTATATATACTAGTATACAGCACCGCTCTTAGAATAGGGCAGCCTGCGTTCCTATCTTGAACCCTGTGCTGTCCAGGCCGTGTTACGGTCCTCCCTGGTTGTGCTCCTCCCCAAAAGACCGGGATTTGGGGCTTCCAAAGGGATGTGCTCACCCAAAGCCCACACACACCCCACTCTTGCTCAGGGTTCCTGGTGAAACCAAAATGTGGGGACCCTGGAATTCCCCACTCAACTGCCTAAGTCTGCGCAGGCCTTTTTCCCATCTGTTCTCCTGGGGGCCAGTCATGTCATAGGTGGATTTACCCCTGGGGCCAAGAGAAGGCCAAAGGGCAGCTGTGCAAAAAGAATCTGAAGGCGTGAGCTGGGGTTTCCACTGGTAACGCTGGAGTCAGGGCTGAGAGGGGGCATCTCAGGCCAGGGGTCTTCTCTCACCCTGGGCTGCTCGAGTATTGGAGACAGCCCTGCCCGTACGTAGCATTTTAGGAGGAGAAAGTTAATGGACTTGTATTTAGAAAGAACAGGGGAAAATTACAGGAGTCCAAAGGAAAACATTTTTGAAAATGTTTAATTCCACTTTATTATAACATAGCCTATACCTAATTTTCTATAAAAAGCAACACTTTTTAGTAAAAGCAAGGATGCAGTTGTCTCTATTTAAATGCCTCTTAACTACATAATGTGTTT